CCTCGTTGTATCCCAAAGTTTTTTAGAATATAACCAAGCCGTAGATACCTAGTGCGAAAAGATCAATCACCTTCCATTCATCTAGATGATTCTTCATTAATTGCTTGATGTGGGTCCAAACAAATTATTCTTCTTTGCCTTTGTGTTCAATCCGGTCAGTTACCCACTTTTCATCTACCCCTGTAACCTTTGCCAACCCATTCTTGAAAGGCTAACTTTTGATGTACTTGGTGTAGACCCGGTATATTCTAATTCCTTCACAATGTAGTAAAGTAATAGACTCTTCAATTGTGGGCACCATGTCTTCTTGATTGAATGTAAAATAATTGTATCTCGGATTTTAAAATTGCACTAAGGTTCAAAATTAAGGGATCGTCTATCTTGACATAGAGTAGAAGCGCGATATTACCATACAACTGGCAGAATCTCTGTTTCTTGTCATTTTTCCAGTTATCCCAAAGGCTCCGTAACTCTTGAACATCATTTTGTTTAAGGCTGACAGAAGCATAACCAACCATATCCGACACATAGTTACCTTGCACTCTATCCCCCTTTTCATTATGAGTCTTCTCTGACCATAGTCGGACCTCTTCATTTTTCACCTCTTGCAGTACAACCCATTTGTCCATTAATGCAAATTATTTGGGTTTAACAAACACTTTTTTACGGATCAACACCTCTTTTAAATGATGCGAATGATAAAAATAAAAGAAAACAAAAAATGAAAGGGAAACAAGTTAGTAAAAAAATAAAAAAAAGAATAATGAAAAATAAAAATTCCTACCCCACATGCTTATTATTCCTACCCGGACATGATCTTTATCCTGCATGTTGATTTATTGAATAAATCCTAACCACATATGTATATTTCTAGTTTGCATGCTTTGAACAGAAAATAAAGTAAAAAATAACCCAATCATCCTAGGTTTTGAATGGAGTTTTGGCTTGGGCTCTAATTCCTTGTAGTCTCCCGGTTTAGGTTTTAAAAAGGTACATAAGTTCTTCTTGCTGTTGCCCCCTTGGGCTTGCTAGACCCTCAGTCCTAAGCCCATTACAAGCTTGTGTGGACCAAATTAAACTCGAGATGACACATTCCCTTATGTCTATATGGAGAATAAATTCACACGAAGACATAAGGTATATGAATCTCGAACGTTATTTGCTAGGCCTGTATGGAGAATAAATTCTCACGAAGGCGTCACTTTCACCCCACTTACAAAAGGGTTTGGAGCTCGGGTATAGAGTCTGAGATGAAATTTTGAAAAGCTGAAATCATTGAAAAAAAACATCAGTACAACTATTTATTTTAAAAAAATAATCAAAGATAAACAATAAAGATCGAATAGATAAACTAAAATTTAAACTTACAATTTTCGCTTAAGAAGACAACCGAAAATTAATTTTGGCCTGACTCACCTACTGGTCCCTAGCGGAGTCACCGAGCTGTCGTAACCGTCCTTCGGGTGGGCTTGAAATTGGGCTTCGACTTAAATAAATGTTTTAGAGCCGCCACCGATCATTTAAATTAGGTTGATCGAACACCTTAATTTATTGTCTTACTTGATCCACGTTTTACCAGAAATATACCAGATTCAGGAGTCGATTATAGTCAGGGAATGATTAGTACCCTTGTACTGTCCTTTCGGTACCAATTTAATTTTCCGGTTGTCTTAATTGTGAAAATTAAAAGTTAAATTAAAATTTGAAATTCGATCTGAACTTCTTACCTTTGATCGATTAAAATTGCCCCTAGAAGGTGGAAAACGTTAGATCATAAAATAAAGTAAATATTAAATAAATCAAAAAGGAAAAAAGGGTTAAAAACAATGTTAAAAGAGAAAAATAAAATAAAATGAAGAAAATATTAAATTTAAAAGAAAGAAATAAAAATAAAAAATGTATTAAAGAAAAAAAACACTTTAAAAAAGAAATATAAAAATGAGAAACATGTCAAAATCAAAGGAAAATAAAAATAAATAAATAAATAAATAATTAAAGGATCAAAATTGGGGGGTTAAATTGCAAAATATGAGAAATACAATCCAGGATTAAATCAAAATAATTCAAAATTCAAAGGCCAATTTATAACATGTGACTAAAATGAATTACACATCAAAATATCAGGCACTGCGGAAATAATTTAACTATTTCATATTTACAAAGTAGCCCTCCCTATAAATAGCCCAAAAATCTCAAAAAAATCATTTTATCCTCATTCCTAGAAAAATAAACCCTTCTCAATCTCTAAATTCTCTTAACTTAAGCTTTGGTTGGTCAAAGACCGGCTACCCACTGGTGTAAAACCGCCGCCTGGACCGTCGCCCTTGGTGATTGGAAAAATCCAAACTATACCGAAATATTCCCCTCAACTCCCCGAAACTAAACCCGAGCCTCAATCTCCCCAAAATAAACCCCAAATAGCATAGATCTAAGAAAAACCAGTTGATTTTTACCTTGGTTTGGCGGTGGCTTTTCTCTTTCCCGACGATCCTTTTCCTTTTCCAGTGGCGCTGCTCCTATTTTCAGGCCTAAAAATGCATTGCTCAATGTTTGTTTCGGTTCTTTTGCTTGGTGATTCTCGGTTTTGGCCTAATGTTTTTTTTTTGCTTTTGTTGTTTTGGTGATTGTTTCTTTACTCGATTGGCTTTGTTGTTCGTTTAGTTTTCTCTGTTTTGTTGCTCCAGATGATTTTCATTGTCCTTATTGTCTCAGCTGTGAAGGTTTTTATAGAGTCCCCGTCAGGGCTATTTTCGGCTACCTCGGGGGACGGTCTCCCCATTCCCGATTTACTCAGGTTATTGGGGTTATTGACCGAGAGATTTGGGATGGTTCAGTCCCAAATATGGCCTAATTCTTTTGCATGACCGCTTTTTTGGCTTTTCCTTTGGCGTTGGTTGCTTCGTGGCTGGAAATCTCAGTCGAAGATTTTGGCTGGTTGTTGTATGGCCCTCGGCCTTGTGGTTGGCGGCGCGCGTTGGTATATGCTTTCTAGGGTTTTGTAACCCTAGCTACCTTTCAATCTGGGCCATTGATCTCTTGATCAATCCTATGGCTTTAGTGTTGCGACGCCTTTAGCTTATGACAACACCCTAGTTCGTTGGGTCAGGCGGCTTGGGCTTCAGACTATTGGGGTTTCCATTTCAGTTAGGCCTTGCTGGGTTTTGTTGGGTCAGGCTACCTAGTTGGGCCCCCTATACCTTTGCTGGACCTAGAATTTGATTTAGACCTTAAACCTTTTGGACCTGTAAAAAAATAAAAATAAAAATAAAAATAATATATAATAAAAACTATATAATATTATATTTTCAAAAATAATATGTTTTCAAAAATTATATATTATATATGTTTCCAAAAAATCGTTTATAGAAAAACTATATATATATATATATATTCAAAATATGTTTTCAAAATTATATTATATACGTTTTCAAAAATCCTTTTTAAAACTATGTATATTATACGTTTTCAAAACTATAAAATATATGTTTTCAAAAACGTATTATCAAAACCATAATATATTTTCAAAAATCGATTTTTAAAAATTATATATTATAGGCTTTCAAAAACGTTTTCTAAAAACTATATATTATATGTTTTTAAAAATATTTTTAAAATCTAGATTATATTATTATATATATATATACTAAATAAACCTCAGACAAAAATGAGTGACTGCATAATTCAATTCTCAATCATTTCTCTTTTGTTGGGCCGGGAGATTTGGATCTAATTTTGAGATATGTATTCATAGATGTGCAATAGCTTATCTAATTTTGTTCAGATTGATTCAATAAAAATGAATGGTCAAGTCATAATTATTTAAAAGTTTTGCCTTCCATCCTCGCCTACGTTGATAATCCTATATTCATATATCAAATATACTATTTCTATATATTTATCTTTTATATCTGTCTAGTTTTTTAGGTTTAAAATTACTATTACTCCATCCTACGTTCATATTTTTAATGTATCAATTTAATTATTTTTCTCTTAAAAGTATAATATATTTTATCATAACATTTTAAAATTTAAATTAAAAGAGGTAAATTAATTCAAGAGATGTACAAATAATGAATACATGTAAAATATTATTCACCACTTATTTTCATTCATGATAAAATAAGATACAAGTATCAAAATCGATTAGACGTTACAAAATGTCTCTGCAAAAAAAAAAATCTTATGAAAATTGTCTTTCATTTTTGTAGAGATTCTCCGCAACACCCACTCTATAGAGTTCAAATAGTGAGGCTCTCTAAAGTATTATCCACTCCATGATCTATATATTTATGTTCAGTTGTGGTCGTCTCATTTGTTCTCCACCTTTTTCATTCTGATATAGATGACTTTTGTTGTGGTCTTCACTCACGAATTCATTAGTTAAAAACACTTAATCATGTACTTTTTTTTTAATGACTTTTAAATATCCTTACATGATATTTCAAATGATATATTGCTTGAGATTTTACGATAAGTCGTTGAAAATAGTATTTAGGATTTCCTAGCCTATGTTTAATTTGTTGAAACTTCTGTTTGGTTTAAAATTAAAGATATATATTTACAAATGTTCGGATATATGAATATACCTCGAAACATTTAGATCGTTCTGAACATTTGTTATTACAAAAAGTTCATCTTTCAAAAAATTTCTCAAACATTGTATATGAAAGATATAATATTTTGTTCTTTTCAAGTACTATGTCCATAATAAACTAACATGATTACAAATATTAATATATTTATCAATAATTAAAATTTTATTTATGAATTATAAACAAATAGTAAATGAATATAAAACAAATATAAAAAAATTTAAATATATTTTATCAGAAAGTAAACGGATAAATAAATAAACTTATAATCAAACTAATTAAAAGTTGATTCTTTAATACAAGGATATATATTTTATTAAGATGATGAGTAATTGGTTGAACGATCCATTTGTATAAATATAGGAGAGAGCGATTCGATATGAGGTTTGTTTTACGCATTGGCGTTGATATTTCTAGGAATAACAAACTTCCGAAGATAAACCACCACACCCTGTGTATCCAAAATTCCAGTGGCTAAAAATCAATCTTTGTGAAAGAATCGGGAATTGGCATCCCACAGAACATGAAAACATGGAAGAGCATTACTTGATTCATTTTGGGGGGAACTTTCATTATCCAAGAACTTTTCAAGTTCACTGTCGAGGAAGAATTTTGTTTGAACAAAACAAGAAGAAGAAAAATTTACAGTTTTTCTTCATCCTCTTAGTACTTGAAAAGCCTTGGATAATAATAATATGGCCGTGGAAGGTAATTTCTTTTCCAGTTTTTTCTCATTGTTTTTCAAAGGTTTTAATCAAAGATGCATTTTTTGTTAATGCAGAGACGGTAAATGCAGAAAAGGAATCCCCTAGAGGGGTATTGAAGAATCCTGGGGTTGGATCAGATTCAGATAGCAACAGTTGCAGCACATTTTCAAGCTTTCCAATTCCTTCCCAAAAGAACATTAACTTTGATTTTAATGGTTTTCAATTTAAGCAAATATTCGGAGCCATCAAGAAGAAAACGCCCATAAATTTCTCAATCTTTCCTTTGGTCACCACCTATGAGGTTTCCAGGAAGACCGTGATGAAGAAAATTGCAAAACTTTATGGCTCCGAGGTTGATGATGAGTGCTGCATCCCCAATGTTAAACCTTCATGGAAGAATTTTACTTGCGCTGAGCTTGCTGCTGCTACCGATAATTTCAGTCCCGGTATGCAAATCATTCACATCTTTAACCCCATTTTTTTAAATTGTATTTCATGGAAGACTCTTTGATTTGCATTGTAAAACACATTATAGATAAGTTGCTTGGGGAAGGGGGAAGTGCACAAGTATACAAAGGGACGTTATCTGATGGTCAAGTTGTTGCGGTGAAGAAGTTCATCAAGAATGACAACGAAAATGAAGAGAGAGACACTGATTTGCTGTCAGAACTTGGGATTATTACTCAAATTAATCACCCTAATGCAGCACACTTGATCGGTCACAGCATCGATGGAGGCTTGATTTTAGTCCTTCAGTTTTCCCCCCATGGCAGCCTTGCTTCTTTGCTTTTTGGTACTGTGCCATTGTCATTTGCCATTGCCGTTGCCTTTGCCGTTGCCTGGACTAATAATGAGGAAATGTTGATGCCCTGCAGGTTCAAATGAGGGCCTTGATTGGAAGAAAAGGTTTAAGGTAGCTCTTGGTGTAGCGGAAGGATTGAAATATCTCCATCATGAATGTCCGAGGCGAATCATACATCGAGACATCAAAGCATCCAACATATTGCTCACCGAAGATTACGAAGCTCAGGTACTGCTAACTTCAAATGCACTCTGGTATGAATAGATTTCTGTGGAGTCTAGTGTAATGCGTTAGGATTTCGTCGGTTCAATTCAGATATCGGATTTTGGCCTGGCAAAATGGCTCCCGGAGAATTGTCAACACCATGTGGTAGATCACATTGAAGGAACATTCGGGTAATGACATCCATCCTTTTCAACTTCTTCAGTTGATTTTGTCATTGTTATTGGTCATTCTCATAACGTTACCCCCAGGTATTTAGCACCAGAGTATTTTATGCACGGCATTGTTGATGAAAAGACCGATGTATTCGCATTTGGAGTTCTATTACTTGAGATTGTAACAGGTCGTCGCGCCGTCGATACGTTGTCGAGACAAAGTCTTGTCATTTGGGTACATCTTTTGCACTGAATCATTAAAATTAGGAAAATATGATCCAATTAACTTATCTTTTGCTCCTCGTTTACAGGCAAAACCGATGCTTGAATTGGATGATGTTAAAAGGTTGGTGGATCCCCTACTTGGAGACAATTATGATCGAACTGAAATGAAACGTGCAATGTTAATAGCTTCACTGTGCATCAGCCACTTAGCTTCCATGCGACCGAGTATGCAAAAGGTAGCAAAACAATGGCGGAATCACGTTTGTATTTTTCACTCGAAATTTATTCTGGAAACCTTGTTTTTTCAGGTTGTAGAGATCCTTAAGGGCGAAGAACAAGATGCTGCAGAGTATCAGCCGAAGAGTTTTGGAGAAGAAGCAATAATCATAGACGATTGTGAGGCTCAAGTTTATAATAGAAGCAGCTATCAAAATGACTTGAATCGTCATATGCAGCTGGTTATGGAGTAATGGATGCTTCATGTTGCTTCTGTTTCTGTTAGTTGTTTTGTGAGAAATTCAATCCAATAGAGAGTGCCTTGCACTTGCAGGGTGGATAAAGTCCCCCATTGAAATCAATTCGAAGCTGATTGTTCTTCAGGATTTTTTTCAGCTTCCTAAATGTCCTTATTTATTCAACATACATTTAGAAGCTACAATAATCGGAAGAAACTTTCAGAAATCAGATACAAATGTATTCCTTTCATTTTGCTTTTCTTTTAATTAGTTATTGTTTTTCAAAAAACTAATGTCATTAATGGAACCCTTGGCATATAAGATTGTTGCAGCAACACCATATCACATGAATTTCAGAATAACTTCAAACTTTCCTATACATATATGTTAATATCAAACAACCATTATTTATTTATTTATTTATTTTATGAATCAAATAATTAAAATTTCATGTAAAAAATCTTTATATATATTAACTATTTAATTAATAAATTTTTCATACTTTCCATTTCAGCATGTAGCTCATCTTTAACATTTGAAGATAATAATACCTTACAAAATCCAGCCTTCAAAAGAAGGGCTCAGCTGGGAACATGCCGCCTGTCGCGACTAAGTTAGCTGAATTGCGATCTATTCCTTGTTAAAACACTAGTAAGGCTGGTGAGGCCATAAGAAAAACTGATCTGCCGCCATTGGAGTGGCCACTGTCGAGGAAGAACCAGGGAGGTCGCAGACACCGATGTTGGCAGCCTGAAGGTGGTGGTAGATATTCTGCTGATAAAATGCAGCTCCATCAAAAGGAATTCCGCAAGGAATAGTAGATACTGACTGCTGGATGGGGGCAAAACTTATATTGTTGCTGTTGGAGCTGCACTGGGGTTGTTGCTCATGGTCAACAATCGGTTTTTGCTCCGACTCAAGGGAAAGCTTTGGCCGCTTAGCTGCCCCGCCAATTGGGAGAGAACTATTGGAAATGGCTTCGACATCATAACGGTTCATCTCAAAGTTGGTCACCGCATTCACACCCCTAAACTTGATGGCAGCAATATCGTAGGCCTCTGCTGCCTCCTCTTCAGTAGCTATCACCATGCATAAGATGGTAACTATCAGCTCAAGCCAATTATGATCTTTATAAATAATGTCTACAATACAAACAACATATAGGTTCATCACACATAATTGCCTCCCTACCAAATGTCCCTAGGTAAAGGTCCTTGTTTCCAGCAACACGACCGATCCTTGCTTGCCATCGACCCTGCTGATGATGCCTGCAAAATTAAGATGATAAACTAATGCATCAATAATTGTTGTTCGCAACAGAATTACAAATCACATAATTGATAACACATCATTAAGATATAATTTGAATTCCATGCTAGATTGTTGTAACCTTGTGACACCTCTGTAAATTGATGCTCCCCTTGAAAATCCACTGCTCTTTCTATCAAATTTAAATAAAGGCATATGATAGATAAAATTTCTACAAGTAGACGAGAAAAACAGCAAACTGATTAAGAACACAACACGCACCTCCTTAAAGATGCGATAAACTCTTGCTTGGTTACATGTTTCATCTCCTCCAACTCTTTTGAATAATTTGAAATCTAAAACAAGCAAAACAACAATGAGTTAACATAAAAGGATCACTAAATTAACTAGTTTAGGTGATGAGAACTGTTCATATATATGATACCGGGAAGTTGCTGGTCGCGCTAGGACCCCAGTATTTTAGAGCTGCCAAATCATAAGCCCGAGCGGCCTTTTCTTCTTTATCATATCCACCTGTTAAAGGTTACAATATGGCATGTTTTCAGCCTACAAACTAAACTTAAATAACAAAATAAGAAACTGTTGGGAGTATCTTACCTAAGTACACTGTTGAAAACAATTTTCAATGTCCGCCAAGTTAACATCGACGGCACATTTTCATGCAAGAAAGTAAAGCAAAGATTGTTAATATTAGGTAATAATTTGATCAAAAAAATTTCTGCTTTCAATCACATTTACAAGGCAATGCAAGTCCAATATTTTGCAGGAATCATCCATGTAGATTAGTTGGCATACTAATTTGTAAAAACAAAGTAATGTTCTTTAACCCTCCCTAGCAGTCATTGTGGCTAGAGTTTGAATCAGAACATAGCCCACGTTACCAGCCTTAGAGCAGAAACACTGTCAGAAACACTGTCAACAAGCTTAGACTATAATAGTGGAGGGGCTACACATACTTTTTCATCTTTGAATCCATAATATTATATCAAATGGCGGCATATCTGATCAAATCAATCAACGGTTCAACAGAAAAATATTTAAAAAAAAAAAGATTTCCTGTAAAAAAAAGTACTAGTTTGTACACTATATATAACATCAGTCTTTCAATCATCAGAAAAGACTGACACCAAATGCCCACTTATGTATCAATGGTTTTAGAATAATGTGAGAAAGAGAAAAGACCTTGACGCCCTTTTCTGGCCTGACCCTCTCTCCTACAGCTGTTGTCCCACAAATGAGCTTCATATCTGCCCGTCCATCGGTGTCTGCATTTGCCAATGCCAACAAATTCAAAATGTTCAGACCAAAAACCTATGGAGTTTACTAATAAAACTAGAAAAAGGAAGGGGAAAGACGATGGGATTGAAAGGATATTGGACCTTGTGACCCCTCTGTAGATTGAAGTTCGCTGACCAAAAGTATCAACAATCTTCTTTGAGCTGTCGGAATCAACTGAAACAATGGCTTTATTATTACTTTGAGTAACCCCCAGGGACAAGGCCTCACCAGTTGCACAACTGGAATGAATAGGAAACTCAACGGTAGTCAACTGAGTCCGACCCATTGAAGACGAGTCATTAACTTCTGACCCAGAGTTTGTAGAAAACGCTTGGAACCCAGTAATGGAGTTGAGATATTGGTGCTCATTGAAGTAAGCAGTGACGCTCTGGTCATAGATTTGGGTCAAAGATGAGTTTTGGGTTTCGGTTTGGCTATCCGAGCATCGAACAATCGATGAGGAGTCGCCAAGGAAGTCTTCAAGCTTCGGTACTTGATGGTGGAAGCTTGTGAGAAAGGGAGATTCATCAGCCATGACTGGATCCTGAGTTTCTTTTCTTCGGGTCACTCCTAGAGTAAAAACTTGTTTTGGATTTTCCCAGTCTTCATAAACAAACATGCACATAAATGAGTCAAATCACAAGATTTTGCACGGTTCCAATACATGAACACGAGAAAGAATATCTGGGTTTTTTTTTTCTGGATATAACAGTAAGCTTTCTAAGTCGGTTTATTTAAGTAACCAGCTTGAAAAACTGAGCTTAAAGCATGTGAACTAAAATCACCATCGGCTCTCTCGTATTTTCGTGGCAACCAAGCATAAGTTATGAGAAGAAAAAGAAGAAAGAAAGAAGAAGGGTTTACCATTGGCATAGAAGTTATCGATTAGGTAATGGGGAGAAGCAGCAGCAGCTGAGGATCCTTCATATGACACAAACTGAGGCTCAGATGATGAACTCAACATTTCCATTGGAGATGGTGAAAACGAAAGCCAGTTACTGCTGTAGCTGGTGCCATTTAACATTTTCTTATATAAAATATCAAATGCAACTCTATAACCTTCAAAAGCTTCTTTTCTCTGAATCAACACTAAAATCCAAAACAAATTCCTCTGGATACAACCAAAAAACTAGCTCGGAAACGTTGTTTAACCTCGAATCATATCCTCCAAAACTGAAACTGATTATACCAAACGTTACTTATAGCTGCCCCCTTTTCAGGTAAAAACAAGTACGGTAATCACGAAGCTTAAAACTAAGAAAGATGGGCGGGGAAAGAGAAGAAATATCTTTTCGAGGCTTAAAAGAGGCTAAGTGCATGCAAAACTGGTCTGGAATTTCTTTGAAGAAGATAGAGAAGGAAAGGAATAGTTAGGAGAAGTTGGGTTGGGTTTATAAAGGGGTGGAAAAAGAGAATAAGGGGCAAATTGTTGACCAATTTTAGATGTTTAAAACCGGGGAAGCCACGTTCAAAACTTGTTTGAGAAAGCCTTTAAAACAAGGAAAATGAGGTGATCACCCTTTAAATGTTTATTTACCTGTTAAATATCGTTCAGATTATATTTTTTGATTTAACACCTTTTACAGTAAGACGTCCTCGAAGTCACGCTTTACGTTGATTTGATACCATGTGGGGTAAGACGCACCTCCTGAAGCGCGCCTTACACTGACATAGATACGCGCTGACTAATTCGAGGTCCCTGGAGCGCGTCTTACGCCACGTAGAGTAAAGCGCGACCCCCGAGGCGCGCCTTTGCTTTTTATATTTTTAAATCAATAACTTGTCCATATCAAAAAAAATATTTCATCAGTATCATTTATGAACCCGCCAATCTCAATACCAAAACATGGGTTACATCTATGTCAGATGGTGACAGACATCTCAGCCCACCAGATCTTCCAATTACATAGAAAATCTTTACAGAGATTTTTGGAAAAGCGCAAAGAGAGGTAAATAAAGTTTCTGAGTTTTTACAACTTGTAGAGCTTATTACGAAATCTGGCTAAAAAATAAATTATTTATATAGTAGTTTATCTATTCTTGTAGTTTTATTTTGGTCACATAATTATTCTTTTTAAATCATATATAATGTTATTTTTGATACAATTTTAATCATATATTGTTAAAAGATTAATTGTGACATTGAAAAATAAAAAAATTCATCATCTTAATGGTTTTATTTATTGTTTTAACGGCAAGTAATTAAAATTAAATTAAAATATAATAATAAATATAATTTAAAAATAATATAATTAAATATGTAGAATTGAATTAAAATATAACATTATATATGATTAATTAAGTTGGAAGAATAGATAAATAATTATATATGTAGTTTTACCTTGAAAAAAAACATATCCTGGTTGAAATCATTATGTATTTTCATTCAATCTATCAAAATAATAATAAGTTTATTTAATTTGTTTTTTAGGTTGACTTGTGCATCCACATATGGTTGCTAGTTCAGTGCACCTTAAAACCCGTGTTTGTTGACGTCGTTGGAGTTGATGGAGCCACTTTTAATCTAATTTTAGGTTTCCATAACTGTGTTGACCATGTCAGATAGTAATATTATTATATACATAAAGAATGGCTAAATGATGCTAATGAAATAATTTCTTTTGATAATAGACAAGTCACCGATTTAAAAATACAAAAGTAAAGGCGTGTCCCAAGGGTCGCGTTTTACCTTACGTGGCGTAAGGCGCGCCTCAGGGGCCGCGCTTTAGCCAGCGTGAGTGTAAGGCGCGCTTCAGGGGGTGCGTCTTACCTCATGTGGCACCAAATCAGCGTAAAACGTGGCTCCAGAGGCGCGCCTTACTGCAAAGAGTGTTAGATCGGGAAATATAGTATGAACGGTGCCTGACAGGGAAATAAACATTTAAAGGGTGATTTATCGTGAAAATCACCAAAAAATGAAGGTTGATAAATAATAGGGTAAACTAATTTTTATTTCGTTTTAATAGCTCATTATTTTTTAAAATTATGCCTAATGTTTAATTTTGATCATTCATTGTTAACAAATTATCGATGATGGTGATATATCTTCATAAAATAATATCATGTCATCATTGAAAAATAAAAAAAAAATCTTGTCACTAGTTCTGTTGATTTCTTAATGATATAAATGTTCAAAATAAAATCAAAACGTAACCTTAGGTATAATTTTTAAAAAATAAAATAAAAGAGTAATTAAAAGTCAAATGAAAGTGACAATCAAACGATAAATATAGTTTATCTTAAGTAATAAAAAAATGGTGGGGGTGACCTTTAGGTATGCGCAGTGAAGAAATTGTCTGAAACAACGTAGTGAAAGATCGGGGCTAGGTTGGAATGGGGTTTTTTTAGAGAAAATAACTTCAGTGACTAAAAATGCCTTATGATATACAATTTTAACCAACTTTTTTTGGATTTGCCAAAATGACCAACTAAATCGCAATGCGATCGATAATTCGCAACGCGATCTTCGGTATCGCAAATCAGTTTCTAGATTCGCAACGCGAACTTCGACTATCGCATTGCGATAGTCCAAGTTTGCGTTACGATAGTCGAAGTTCGCGTTGCGATTTTCCAAATTCGTTGCGATAGTCCAAGTTCGCGTTGTGATTTATTCCAAATTTGTTGCGATAGTCCAAAATCGCAACGACTGGTGGTATTACATTTGTTTCTTAAGAATTTTCTCTAAAAGGATAGTATTCGCGCGGACGTGTTGAAGACACGTATTACCACTACCACGACCACGACCACGACCACGACCACGAGACGAGATGGACGGCGGCGGCGCGCGAGAGTCCCCCTTGTTCTCTATCACTCAACAAGAAAGTGGGAAAACCAAGCCTTAAATACCATTCCTAATAGTGTTTCCAATACTATGTGGGATTGAGCATTACCAACACTTGTTTCCAATACTATGTGATTATTCAGGAAACAATTAACAATCATGCACCTTAAAACAACTGAATCAACAACCAATTGCATTAGTATTATACGATTAAATATGTCATAATTAAAAGTCAATCTACAATCAATCGCGATTATTGCAATTTTAAGCAAAACATTCAAAAAAATTGCATCACTCTCGAGAATAAAAAAATTGTTATCGTGCAATTACAATCAATTGAAAATAAATTAGAATTGCATGAAAACTAAATGAACCACAAATACTTTTCATACAAATACTAAAGTCATTAACTATAATTCACAAATAATATCACTATTTAAGGCTCAATCCCACATAGTATTGGGAACAAGTGTTGGTAATGCTCAATCCCACATAGTATTGGAAACACTATTGAGAATGGTATTTAAGGCTTGGCTTTCCCACTTCCTTGTCGAGTGATAGAGAACAAGGGGGACTCTCGCGTGCCGCCGTCGTCCGTCTCGTCTCGTCTCGTGGTCGTGGCAATACGTGTCTTCGACACGTCCGTGCGAATACTATCTTTTTAGAGAAAATTCTTAAGAAACAAATGCAATACCACCAATCGTTGCGATTTTGGACTATCGCAACGAATTTGGAATAAATCGTAACGCGAACTTCGACTATCGCAACGAACTTGGAATAAATCGCAACGCGAACTTCGACTATCGCAACGAACTTGGAATAAATCGCAACGCGAACTTTGACTATCGCAACGAACTTGGAATAAATCGCAACGCAAACTTCGACTATCGCAACGCGAACTTGGACTATCGCAACGCGAACTTGGACTATCACAACGAATTTGGAATAAATTGAAACGTGAACTTGGACTATCGCAACGAATTTGGAAAATTGCATTGCGATAGTCGAAGTTCGCGTTGCGATAGTCGATGTTCGCGTTGCGAATTTGGAAACTGATTTGCGATACCGGAGATCGCGTCACATTGCGATTTAGTTGGTCATTTTGGCAAATCCAAAAAAATTTGATTAAAATCGTATATTATAAGGCATTTTTGGTCATTGAGGTTATTTTCTCTTTTTTTTATGTTCATCACACCGATCCTCAATTTATTTAGAGAAATCGTCCACATCTCTAATTAATTAGGATAAACTGTTTCTTTAGTTATTTCTTTATTATTTTTTTACGTTGAACAATTGTTTTTTAAAATCATATGTACTATTATGTTTCATTTATGTTTTGATTGCTTATTGTTCAAAAAAATTAATGATAATATTAATATGATATTTTTAAATAATTTTTTTAATTTGCACATCAACAATTAAATATGATGTTTAATTAAGTGTCACTACCCTCTCGAAATAAATCATATTTAATGTATGGTTCATTTATATTTTTATATTTATATTTTGTGTGATTATAATACCCACAACCTAGTCCAAAAAAAAATCGAATTAAAGATGTAATGCCCTGAAATCTGGGTGAGTAGTTTGGGTCAACCCGAAACCTTTAAGTCAAGATAATTAAACTTCCCAAGATAGTTGGATCAAATTATATAGGTATTGGGCTTAAGTAAGGCCCAAGAGTTAAGGGTAAGTGATGGTTTTAAGTAGAGGTAAAAAGGAAAGGGACCAAAATAATAGTTTACCCATAGTTGGTTTTAAATGTTATAAACCCTATTTATTTATATGGATTTCACGAGAACCTTCTCCAAAAATATCTTCTTTTTCTTCGTGTTTCTTTCTTCTTCCTTCTCCAAAATAAGCCAAAGAGGAGAAAGTTTTTAGAGTTCCAAGTTTAGTTTGAAGAAACCAAGGTAAGAACCGTAATTTTCTTCCCTCAAGCTACTTTTTAAGCCCTAAATCATAGGTTTTGGATTATGATTTCAAAATGGGTTTTTGGGAGTTAAGAGAAATCAAGTGTTTTAAGCTTGTTTTTGGGTAGATTTGAGTTGAAGGAGTTGTATTTAAGCTTAATCTAACTTCTAGTTGAGTAGCTATCATTTTTCTTGCTTGGTTTAGTTAAAGAGGTGAAAAAGAGTTTCAAAGCAAAGGATAAAGGTAAGGTGACTCGTAGTTAAGTTGAGGGAGAGTTTAGTAACCAAAGAGGCCATGTAACACACTATCATCCCTTTCATAGTCCTAGT